ACAGGCTGATATTCCGGATAAAATATTGCCTCAACCACAAGCTTGTTCTGATGCGATCTATTCTGACATAATGCAAGAATGTTGGAAACAAGAACCCGAGAATAGACCAAACTTTACAAAGATCATCGAATATTTAAACAAGGTAATGTTGTATTTTYAGTCTCATCAAGGTAATGTAGTTTAATGTCGATATTCGTTACAATAGAGTTCACGCCTTTTATCCGTATCCGAATTATTGCATAAACATGACATTCCGGAAGGAAAATAATTATTTTAATTATAAATGCATGAATAATTATGTTCGTTTTATTAATAGATTATAATTCATGCAACACACTCAAAAATACAAGTTCAAAAAGAATGCTGAAATGATAAAMGTTCTGAAACATGCAAAGTGTTTGAAGTGCTTGTCGTCCCAATGCTCTATAGCACTAATGCATGAGTCAATTCCAAAGGTGGAATTCACTCATACATAATGAACATTGTATTTGAAATTGTTCGACTTGAAAAATYAAAGAAAAACCTTTTGGAAACGGATTATGAATGGCTATTGCCTCCATGGAAAACTAGAAATCCGATGCATTATGTCTTATTCCTTGTGGTTGTCTTGAACTCTATTTTCATGGGTAGGAGATGCTTGTGCTACTTCCTCTGGAGACGCCATTTCTTCGGTTGGCTTTTACACTACTGGCTTGATTTAGAAAATATCTGACTTCCCTGTCCGCTTAACTTTTGAGGATTCGTCAGTTCATATTTCTCACTTGTTTTCCTCGTCGCTAATGCTAGATCTGCTATCTAAAGGGACACAAGAGTCCAATATGTGGTTGCATATATAAAAATCTTTAATGCACACACTACATTTCTCCCCTTCTTCAAAGATAATGTCAGTGCTCAATCTCTAATAAGGATTCTTCCGATATAATCAATAATCAATCACACAACTCTCATTACGTTCACATATCATACTGTAATAATTCAATGATGTCCTTTCATGGACACAGTTCCATTATGTATAGTCCTTGAGGTAAGCTAGTCTTCTTCGGTTTCTCTTTGGCATTTCTGTAGCTTGCTTGGGTGGTGAAGTTCGTGGCACTGGTTTCTGTGGTTCTTGCAGTTGGTCTGCGTTATTTGTGTTCGGTATCACCTTAATGTCCTTTCTATCTAATCTTCTTCTTTGATTGGACTGTCTTCTGAACTTTCAACAACTTCATTTACTACTGAGTTTAAAATAACTAGAGTCTCTGCGCATCTGCGTATCTGCGTGTCGCTTTTAGTGAACTGCTTGATGATGTGGCTTCCTCCTCCGCTTGTTCGACGTCCGGGAGTGGATGTCTTCATACAAAATCATGAAGTGGGTCTAGTTCGTCCTTACCTGGCTGGTAAAGAAGTTCAAAGTCAACGTTCTGCATGTTAATAATTCATTTCCCGTTCCTCGGAGGTACTTTCGCTGTGGCTTTATTAAACACGGGTAGAAGCGCCTTGTGCGCTGTTATAATCTTGAATTTCGGTGCCCCGAGAAGATAGATCCTGAACTTTTATTTAGTCCAGACGATGTGTTAAAGCGTCCTTTTCAGTCTGGCTGTATCTCTTCTCTGTATCGCTCATCGTCCTGTTGATGGAGTGGACGAGTTGTATCCTTCTTGGTGTCTCTTGGAAGTGTCCTGCTGAGATACCTTCGTGGAGCTGGATTCCGTCCGTACTATTGTTGTTCTTGTTGGGATGAAGTATGCTTTTGTGTTGTCGTTAGTGATACTCTTTTGAGCTTCTGAAAAGGGTTTTTCTCCTGGTGTTGCTGTGGGTAAGTGCTCTGAGGGGTGCGGTCAGTGTTGAATATCTTCGTACCTCTTCTTTCGAATTTGGCTGTTCGCATTCTTTCACTGTTTTAACCTTATCAGGTGTTGATCTTAGCCCGTCCAGCTCCGTCCTTCGTGAGCTTGTATCCATAAAACTCTATCCTCTCCACACCAAACTAGCACTTCTCACGGTTGAATGTGATGCCGAAGTCTGCTGCTCTCTGCAATACCTGTTCTAGGGTTCAGTTGTGCTCTTCGTTGTTTCTTCCACCGATTAGTATGTCATCACGTTGATTAACGCATATTAGGATGTCACCAAAGACTCGGTACATTGTCTGGTCTAACAAGTCTTGCGATGACTTGGCTCCGAAGACAAGACGCTTGGGTCTCACGTTTCCCCATGGCGTAGTGAAGGTTGCGATAGCTCTGGATTCAGGGTGTATCTGTAGTTGGTGGTACCCTTGTTTCAGATCTAGCTTTGAAAAGACTTTACAATCGTGGAACTTGTAAGTGAAGTCTTCTACTAGGATGTTTGGGACTCTTAGATCGACACTCGCTCTTATCATCGTTGGCTCCAGCTCGTTTCTTTGAACTTTGGCTTGGGTTGCACGACTAATGGTTAGCACCATGTTTCCGATTCTTCAGGTGCATGGTACTTCTTCAAAGATGCCCTCTTCAATTCATTGATCGAACCATTTTTTCAATGGTTCCTGCAAGTGATATGCTACTGCATGGTCGGGGTTTCTGAACCACTGGTACTGCATCTGGTTTCATGCTAAATTGGACATAGAGCTCTTCATCTCTCTTGTTATCCCGAATCTTGCCGATGCCTTCAAATTGTTTGCTGTGTCTGTTGACAATCTCGTCGATGGTTGGCTTGAGTTCTTGAGTTTCATCTGTTGTAACGGTTCGTACCTGTCCTTTGGCATCTTCTGATATCCTCATGCTGTTTGCGGCTGCTAATGTGACTTCAGGGTTGATCTTCAGCGGCCCCAGATCCGTCAGAGTGGACTTACCGATGAGTGGTGCTGAGTTGATTCGTCCTTTGACTACAACGAATGTCGCTGAAACTCGTCTCGTCTTATTCCTTGTGGTTGTCTTGAACTCTCCTTTCACGGGTAGGAGCTGCTTGTGCTACTTCATCTGGAGACGCCATTTCCTCGGTTGGCTTTTACACTACTGGCTTGATTTAGAAAATATCTGACTTTCCTGTCCGCTTAACTTTTGAGGATTCGTCAGTTCATATTTCTCACTTGTTTTCCTCGTCGCCAATGTTAGATCTGTCATCTAAAGGGACACAAGAGTCCAATATGTGG